ACCGTGATGACGATGTTGAACCACGCCCTGTTGATGATGATGATGGCGAGCCCGCGGAGGGTGGTTGAAAATTCGGTGGCCCTCGAAGTCCGATGCTGGAGCAACGCTGGCCGGAGCCAGAGCCAGGTGGCGCAACTCTGTGACCTAGCTTAGTGGGGGCGTGAGGCCTGGTAGAGAGCTCTGGGGGGCCGTTTGTGGGGCCAGTCTCAGTGGTCATGGGGGGTCGTAACTGGAGCAGTGCTGACCGGTGCTGGAGCAAGGTGGTGCAACTCTGTAACCTAACCTCATGGGAGCATGAGGTCTGGAAGAGCTTCGGTTCGTGCTGAAAACAGCCATGCTGGTGGTGGTCGTAGGTGGATTGAGTAGGTTTCACCTATCTGATTGTCGGTTGTTCTTATGAATGTCTAGGACTCTAGGGACTCTTAGCAACCCATCCTAGGCGGTTTTGAAGCGTAGGGACTCTTAGCAACCCATCCTAGGCGGTTTTGAAGCGGTTATACTCAGTGATCTGCGGCTGTTCGATGCCAGAACGATGCTGGCCGGTGCTGGGGTGCTGCCCTGTAACCTGCTGATGCAGGAGCGTGAGGCCTGGTAGAGAGATCTGGGGATGCTTTGGGGTGGGCATCCAGCCAAGGTTTGCTGCTGGGACGACGCTGGTCGGAGCTGGGGCGAGTTGTGTTGCCCTGTAACCCAGCAGGGTGTGGGCGTGAGCCCTGGAAGAGCTCAGCAGGGAGTAAGACTGGGTTGGAAAGTCTTAGAAGGACTTGTTCGGGATCCTGAGGGTTGTGTGCATTCGTAGGACCTCTGTGGCAGCCTATTGCATGAGTAGTTCCTTAATAGATCATTAGATATTCACAGACTGATTTCAGCCAAAGCCGGGTAATGGCCCCAGTATCTCAAATAATCTCAAATGTTCTCAATGATCTGTACAATTTGATATGGGACGCTGGGCCCGGTTCCCAGCACGTGCTGCTCCCCACGAATAGACTGGAGCATTTGTTTGTGTAAAAAAAAAAAAAAAAAAGGAGTCATGTCTGTTCGGCAATAAGTCAACGGCCACAGTCCCAGTCCCGTCACAGTTTCACGGATCAATCCTGATTCAGACCAGGCGTCCAAAAGACAGGGCCTGGCCCGAAGGCCCAAAGCAGCAGCAGACCATAAGAAGAGATACTGGGACACACACTTTGCAACAACAGGTACTGGGCAGAAGTCCTAGACACTTGGAGGCTGATTTCAGACCTCGTCAGTCCAGTCCAGTGCTATAAAGGACTGGCCAGCCTCCTCATTGGGCAGATGCTCATTTCGCATGAAAGTGTGGAAGTGCCGTGGCACTTGTGCGCTAGATGTGGGTGAGCTGCACTGGGCTGTGAGCTGCGCTAAGTGAGAGAAGGGGAAGTGGGGCGCTGGCTGGAAGGAAGGCAGCCATAGATGCGCTAGCGCCAGTCAGAACATTATTAGTAAGGATAGTTAGTAGAAGAGTCCAGTGAGTAGTATTCAGGAGTTGATCCTCGTGTGATAGGGAATGTGCGTGCATGGAGAGTGTGAGTAGACCAGGACTACATATATACAGCCCCTCGTTTGTTGTCCTCTTCTCCCTCTCTGCCTACGGTTTACAGGGCAGTTCTGTTTGGCAGTTCTATTGACGATATATGTATGCCCTTCATTTATTATTATTATTATTATTTTTTTTTTTTTTTGCCGTTTGTTTCGCAAATTGTGCTCTTTTAGTTCATAGTTATGTGACGATATATCTATATATCTATATATATATATCCGGACTGTGAACATCCTCTGCATCCAGATGCAGTATGTCCCATCTGTGCCTTTGGACGCTATAGCGAATGTGCACTTAACTGTGATGGTGAACGCCCCACAATGGTCATGGCCTGCAACCGGCATGCCCTCTGCCGTGCATGCTTCAGAGGTATGGTCGATGCTAGCCGTCCTGGTTCCTGCTGTGACGAAGTTGCTTACCTGAATGGTTTTCGTCCTATAGATTAGCGGGAGGGCTGCTACCATCGCCCGCATCCTTATGATAGTTGTCCTATCTGTCGTGAGGGTCTTACTTAGA